CTATTATCTGCTACTTGAATAATTCTTTCCCTTGGCATTATTATGGAGTAAGAGCTAAGCCGAGGAGACAGTTGCTCCAAACTCGACACAGGGAGGGATTTCATATGACTTATAGGAGGGCTAGTGAGGGACACTTGATCACCTTTTCTGGATGATGGAATCCAGCCTTTGCACTGACGGCTCTGGGCAAGGACAGCCAATACCCTACTAGCTTGTTTTATTTCTTCTTCTATATGATATAAAAACTATATGAAGTCCAGAAAAAGCATAAAATGCTTCAGAAGTGATTATATAAAATCTAGTGATGGTAATTGTTCACGTCCTCTATAAATAGTGCTCTACTTACTAAGAATGCCCTTTAAATATAGGAAGTACTTCGATGCAGTCATTGCACTTCATGTACAAATGCCAGTCAGTTACCTCGTAAAAAATATGGAGACTCTCCATTGCTGTCAGTGACGATGCAGGAACCAAACATGCTGACTTTATAACTATGGTGATATTCTTATAAGAATTTATTTATTTATTATTATTTTTGGTACCAAGCATTGAACCCAGGGGCACTTAACCACTGAACTACATTACCGGCATTTTTTTTTTTTTTTGTATTTTACTTAGGGACAAGGTCTCATTAAGTTGCTGAGGCTGGCTTTTAACTTGCAATCCTCCTACCTCAGCCTCCTGAGCTACTAGGATTACAGGCATTGCACCACTGTGCCTGGCAAATAATTCTATTTTTAAAGAATTGTAATACAATCATCAATTTTGAAGGAACACATTTCTGATCTATGAATTTCTTTTATGTTTTGACAGTCAACATGTTTCTTAGATCCTTTAGGAAAATGGAAATGCTTTGCTTTGCTTGCTTGTTTATTTCTCTTTGATTACTTATTTTTGCTACAGCATGTTTTGTTTAAGAGTCTAGCTTTCTTCCTGGAATCTCCATCTTGAGCTTCCTTCTTTATGAGGCTGCTCACATAGTGAGACCAGGAGCAGTGATGTGCCAGGCAGAGTTGTTCTTAAAATAAAGCCATTGTTTAAGGGCCTGAGCCACTTTGGAAAAATTTGTTAATTTTTCTGAACTCATTTTTCTTCATCTTAATGGTTAAGCTAAGTAGCTATTGATTAGGGAACTGAGTGAAGTGGTGCACTGTCAGGAGCTGCTGCCAACATACCAAGCAAACTTTCTTTTCCTAATAATACATTAGAATTTCAAGCTGTATTGTACAGCAGTATAAGAAACTTGAAGTAATTGTTCAGACACATTAGGCTTGAAAACATCAGGTGTGTTTTATTCTTTATTTAGTCAAATGATTTCCTTACGAATTTTTCCTTCAAACAATTATTTCAAGTGTCTTTCCTTCTATGGGCATAGTGTTTAGTTTTCATAACTTTCAGAACTATTGAGAGGATGATTAGTTTGTACCGCCCATCAAAGAGTGAATAGACTGCCTTCCCTACCCCGTGGGTGTTCCTCTTTGTGTTAAGTTTGTATGTTTTCAGTTGAAATTGTGTTTTCTTTTGAGAGGTGAGAAACTATGTCACATACTATTTTAGAATGTAATGTATTTATTTAACTTTATGTTTCATTTAAAATTTTTGTTATCTTAGATGAATAGCTAAACTTTAGCTTTTATTTTTATTGTATTTTCATTTGTTCACAGTTAGTCAGAAGAAGGCAAGGTATTGTGGCAAAATGCTTAATCCAGGGTGGAGGATTTTCACCCTATTCTAGGCCTCACGTTACTTTGTTTATATGTCTGGTGCAAGTTATTGTGTCTTCTTTGCTTCATGTTTCTAGTAAGATCATCGGATAGGGTGGGGGGCTTCCTTTTAAAGAATCTGCCTGGATATTTGACACACAGAGAGCAGTGATTGGCAACAACTTGGATGCTAACATTTTTTTGGATGCATGCTTCCTTAAACTAGACATCACAGGAATTCTCCAGATTATTTCAGGAGCATAGTACTGTGTTGGAAAAATAGAGGATAAATGGGCCATGCGAGTAATATTTGCACTCTTAATGGAATAACATAAAGCATCAACCCAGGCATGAGGACAGTGCGGGCTTTCTTGGCATGTGTATGTCACATGGTTGCAGCAGTAGCAGTTGATTCAAATGCATCATCACAGTATTGGATTGGAACTTCGTGATGCCCTCCAGCCCAAGTATTTTGATTGCCTAGATGCAGAAACCTTGCAGCTAGGCAGCGGGCCCTGGAGCTCTAGGGTTCTCCACTGTTGCTCATTTTCATTGAATTTTTTTTTTGTATTTCTCTGTTTTGTTCTTCTTCCCAAAGTTATGTTATGACAGCCTCACTAGGATGTCAAAATACATTCCCAGCTTCCTGAAAGACTGAACATGTTTGTTTTTTATATACTTCGTTATTCTTTAGATCTGCACCATACCTTGTTTTGACTATTATTTCATATAATTTCCTACTATGTAATAAAATGATGATTCTAGATAATTATCGTTTTTAGCACTTAAAACAAATGTCTGGCTTATAGATTCCCAACAAACAGTTGATCAATGCTAAAATGAAGTCAGTTTGGAAAACAGGATTTCTAATTGTTTAATCATTTGCAGGTATGTACATTCTCAAACATTTTTTTTCTCTTTTAATTAAAAAAAATCTTTTTTTGTTTGTTTGCTTATTACTGAGCTTTGAATCAGGGGTGCTTCACCACTGGGCCACATCTTCAGCCCCTTTTTAAATTTTTCTTTTGAGATAGCATCTCACTAAATTTTGTAGGGGCCTTCCTAACTTGCTGAGGCTGATTTTGAACATGTCATTCTCTTGCCCCAGCTTCCTAAATCCCTGGAATTAAGCCACCCCACCCAGCTTAAAATTTTTTAAGTGGTACATTTTAATTATACATAATAATGGACTTCTTTGTTACATATTATCCCATACACATAACAAAAGTTGACCAAATTATGTTCTGTGGATTCCAGAACTTTTGTGGAATGTTTAATATTTTCAAAGCATAGTTTAAGGCTTAGGGCATGAAAATATAAAGCACTGCCCAATCTTTTCATGAGCACATAGTTTAGCAGAAGGAATATATCAGCTGTAATTTCAGTTTAATGTACATTCAAAATCACACTGTAGCATAGAGGGTGTTGAGAAAGGCTGTGCTAGGGTTAGGGAGTAGGCATCACAAAAAATTCCAAACCAGACACGCAACAACTGAACTAGACCATGACGACTCTGGAAGAGGCTGGCAGAAGGTCGTGGTGTACAGTATAAAACTAACATCGTGTACAAATAGGATGACATTGTAACAAATAAATGTAATTTGAGGACATAAGAAGGAAGGCAAATTTGCCACTTTATGGTTTTTAAATATTTTTATTTTATACCAGCTCAAGATTTTGACTAAAGAGTTGTGATTATTAGATTCATTACTTAGAAATATAGTGGGGTAGGCTTGGGTTTGGGGACAGACTGGAGGGTCTGTACCTGCAAACATCCAGGCCCTGTGGCAGGCTATATTCAGGTGTCATCTGTTGTGGACCAAAAACAGTGGTTTTGAAGGTGAACTTAGCAGGGGCTGGTGCCTAACTTGACAGGAACATTGAGTAAAAAAGACCATCTCTATTAATTGAGATACAGGAATTTAAAATTGAGGGTGGACATATCAGATTTGAGGGAAAGTTCTCATGAGATTCAAAGTTTACATAATGAAGAAAAATGAACGCAGGAGGATGAAAGATATGCATTTTTAATGTAATGCATATTTTATTTTCTATTCATGCAACATCAAGAGAAACAGATTTAAAACAAAGTAGCCTATAGATAAGCATGTTAAAAAACAGAGCCAAGCCCTTGGGGGATCCTGTGTGAAGGCTGCAGTTCATCCCAGAACCATCTGAGTATCCCTCCCATTGTGCCTAGGCTTTTTAGTCTGGCTTTCTCTTTCTTCATACAATCCCCACAGTTTGACGTGGTATCCTGTTGTCATGACCAGATGGACACATGGGTCAGCACTGGCCTTCCTCCTGATGGTCACCATTGCAGGCACAATTGTGTCTGGGGCCAAGTAAGAGGTCAACCTGTGGAGGCTGCAGAATGGATGGATGAATGAACAAATAGCTTCTTTACAGACTTATCTCTGGTTGAAATAGTTGCTTGTGATTCTGAATAAATGTTGGTATGGAATCAAATAGTATCTGTAGATCAGGAATCAGTGTGTCTGAAGCAATGTGGCATGTGGAAGGATGTGGACTGGGTGTGAGACAGAGCTCACTACTACCTTCCAGTTTACACCTTCAGCGTCTGAGTTTCCACATCTGAATAAGATAGGATAGGAGCTACTGATGGAATTGTTGGGAGTTTTAAAATGTAGCATACAACATAGGTCACACATGCTTTTTTCTCATTGTTAAATTAATGTTTATTTATGTGGATTTAGCTAAATGCTTTGACTCCAAGTATGGTGAGAATGGTGTAGACTAGCTTTGCCATTTTTAATTTACAATATACTCCACATCAAAAATGAAGCAGTGTAGTCATGTTAAATAATGTCAGCCCCCTGAAATCAGAGACTTTTGATATCATTTTTGTTTTCCTTTAATAGTTAACAAATTGTTTCTTTCCATATATTTTTTGGAAGTAAAAGGAAGCTATGGAATTTTAACAAGAATGTGTCAGGAATATTTAAAACATTTTTCTAACCAAAGCAAAGAAGTGTATAAGTTTGCAAAACTAATAAGTGATTCCAAATAAGTTATGAAAATAGATAAGGATCATTTGGGTAAAAATACTCAGTTAAGGAAAATGATACGTTTAAGTAAAGAGAAGATAATAATATTGAAAAAAATTATTCAACACAATTTGTTCTTGCTTGTACATCTTCTTGCTCTCCACTGGGGGAAAATAATAAGACTGATTGCAATCAAGACTGTCTTGTGAGCCTGAAAGAGAAAGGAAGTTCTGGTACTTTCTGATCTACATTTTTGAAACGAAGAAATGTTTTTATCTTTGTTTTACAGATTTACTTACGGTTCTTAGACTATGAGATGCAGAATTCAAATGAATGCAAAAGAAACTTTGTGGCTGTGTACGATGGAAGCAGTTCTGTGGAGGATTTGAAAGCTAAGTTCTGCAGCACTGTGGCTAATGACGTGATGCTCCGCACTGGTCTGGGGGTGATTCGCATGTGGGCAGACGAGGGTAGTCGAAACAGCCGATTCCAGATGCTCTTCACATCCTTTCAAGAACGTAAGATTCTCTGCACTTGACTGTATGTCCTTCGAACATGTCATATGATGCTAGTCTCATAACCCGTTAATAGTGTTTTCTTCTCGCAGTCTGAGCACAGCAGGGTGTTCTCTAAGAAGTGGCTAAACCACCGAGATTTCTTTGGTTTTGATCTAGTGGCCAGAGAGTGACACATTCCATTCTGATGACTTATTCTGGCATATGCATCATGGCCTTGCTTGTGAGAGTTACCTATACAATGGGGAAATGATGGATCTTGTTTGTCTTTGGTTTAGCTCTTGCGAAGCATGCAGAACTGCAGCAGCAGCTTCTGATGAAGTCTGAGTTTAAATCTTAAAAAAAACCTGCATAAAAATATTTGGTAGGTTCACTTTAGTAAGCTTCTCTTGCAGTCCCATTTATTTAAAATAGGCTTGTGATTACAGAGTCACAATTAAAGCATGGAAAGAGAGGGAATTGCTTCAAAAATCAGCAAATAGAAAAAGCTTCATAAAAATGTCAACAATGGCACCATAGGTGATACTCAAAGTTAGCCACTGCAGCAATGTTAGAAACTTATATCCTAACAAATAGTGAATTGTATCAATAGACATATTTGCAACATCTCAGAAACCCTGAGAATTTCATATTTTACAAGGTTCTGCAAATCAGAAAGAATCCTGATAAATTCCGCTTTCAAGAATCAACATGTTTTATTTCAAAATCATATACTTGTTTAAATAAAAAAGACAATACAATGCTTATGAGATTTCACAGTTTTTTAATATGGTCAGTAGCACAATGGCCCATGGACAGCACATTTTCTTTTCTTTCTTTTGCAACCCAGAGCTTCACATTCCCTAGGCAAGTGCTCTGTCACTGAGCTACATCCTCAGCCTCAAATAAATAAATAAATAAATAAATAAATAAATAAATAAAATAATATATATATATGTATTTTAATTCACAAGAGTTAAATGTATTAGACAATTCTTTTATATAAATAATGTTGTCTTTAAATTTCCCACTAATTGCCCAGTTGGAGAACTTCATGAGGTTAGAACCACTGAATGTCATTCAATCTTCTTAAATCTTGGTGCCATCCTCCAGTTGATCAACATCCTTCCCCATGTGATGTCAGATTCCAATAGCATGTTGTGAACTATGTTTTCACTTCTGGAGCTGAGTGATATGTTAGAGTTAGTGCATCTTTATTTCAGTAGGTATTTGAAACCATATTAACATTTTCTGGACTACAATATGAAGGAGTTCATCCTACAGAATAACAATTTAATATCTTCCTACAGACTGCTCTGCAAATTTAATTAATGGTAACTTTGGTGAGGGTTTAGGATCATGTCTACTTTAAATAATTTTAGTTTGCATTTGTGATAAGATACACAATCACATAAAATATACCTTCTTAACCATTTTTTGAAGTTTAATAAATATTTTCATTATTTCTTTAAAGTGGCAGATACAGTTGTATATATTTATCATTTGCATCATGATGCTTTGAAGCATATATACATTGTGAAAAGGTTCAATCTAGCTAATAGTAATGTATCTTGTTCTTGAACACTGCTGGTAGCGAGTATTGTCTTTACCACAAAAACTATGTAATATATATATATATATATATATATATATATATATATATATAGGCTATATTTGGCCACTCCATAGGGTCCTTTATTTATTCAATATTCTTCCCCATTTTGGACAATACCATTTTAATTCAACTTAAATGACAAACACATGGAAGGCAATCTAATATGTTAGATGACATACATATTCTAGATTTTTTAAATATCATGAAAAATCTGGAATTATTATCAGAGCTGTATTTTTAAATGCATTAGGGTTAAAATGAAAAATATATTATTATATTTTAAAAATCAACTAAACCGGAGCATGGAGGAATCTTGACTCTTAAGATTTAAAGATTCATTTAGACTCAATATGAGCCAAACTTCTGCTATAATAGATAAAAATCATATTAAGCTGTGTATTAAGGAAATGCAGTCATTGTGCAAAACGTGGGCTCATGGAAGTTGCATGGTCAAAATGGAAGAGGTGCCGTCTGTTCTTTTCTGGGTTTTCTCGAGGAGAGTAGTCAACTGGAGGAAGCAGACAGAGATGGGAAACCAGCAGGGTCATGACAAACGCCAGAGAGAAGGCGTGCCCCTCTTGGGCTCTGTGTTGTGGTTCACAGTGCGATAGCTACACAGACATGTGCTCCGGCCTGTGGATCAACGCCTAAGGTCAGATCAGTGTTGGACGATCACAGGGAGCTACTGAGGACAACTAGAGGGGAGCTGCCTAGGTCACGTGAGCTGTGAGCTAGAAGAACTGCATGGGTGCCTGTAAGGAGGCTGTGGATAGTGCCTCAGCCTGGAAATGGACGGTCAACTGGCATCCAGCATGACTGGTCTACTACTTTGTCCAGTACTGCAACAAAAAATCACTAGCATCTGTGGTTCTTTTTAACTCTACAATAGATTATTAAATTCTATGAATCTTTAGTGGCCTACATACATAAGAAATGGCAAATTGATACCACACCACATGTAGGTCATATATATCTATTGGCTCTGAAAGATGAAATAGTCTCTGGGAGTCAATCCAGTATTGGTGAGTGAACCAGTGTGTTCTTCCTGCCTAGGGGAAAAGAGCCCCTGACCCTTGATGTGCCTGTACAGTGGATAAATGACCACTAGGTGGTGGGAGAGTTAGATGGCGTTCTTGTGATCACCTTGTACAGTTACAGTAAGCCTCCCCCACAACCTTCGCACACCCTCAGTGTCATGCTGACCACTGTGTTCTGGCTGTCCGTCTTTCCCAAATGCCCATATTGGAGATCTAATCACCAGTGTGAGGCTTTAGGTACTTGAGAGACTATTCAGTTATGAGGACAGATCCCTCGTGGAAGGGGTTTGTGCCTTGATGAAAGGTCTCAGCTGCTTTGGCTATTCTTCCAAGCTGTGCAGGCACAGTGAGGAGCTCCACCTGTGAGCCAGGAAAGGGGCACTGACCAGACACAAGGCTGCGTGAGCCTTGATCTTGGACTTCCAGCCCCCACAACTGTGAGCTCCGTGTTTCTGTTGTTGATGAGCTGTGGCATGTAGCTGTAGCATCCTGAGTAGATTAGGGTGTTTGCAGTGCTTTTATTTTTTTATCATGATTTTTGTTTCTGCTTCATTGGCTAAAATCATACAAAATTCTACCATTACATGAACCAAACATGGAATCATAGGTAATGAACTGTGTGGGCATAGACCAGGTCCTTATTCATTGAAATCAAGGTATTTCCTGATATTTGAGGGCTCAGGGTTTCAGAGGTCTTAGTCCATAGCAGGCCAGCTCCATTCCTCAGGACTTGAGGTGAGGCAGAACATAATGGCCGGAGAGCAGAGTGGAGGGAAGAAGCTCACATCATATCAGGAAGCAGAGAGAGAGACTCTACTTGCCAAAAACAAATATATACCCAAAGCACACCCCAGTTTCTACCTCCTCCAGCCACACCCTACCACTTCAATGACCACTCAGTTAATCCCTATCAGGGGATTAATTCACTGATTGGGTTAAGATTCTTATAACCTCACCAATCATTCCTCCTCTGAAACTTCATGCATCATCTCACACGTGAGCTTTTGGGGGACACCTCACATCCAAACCATAACAGTCCAGGACTGCATCTGGTACTGGCAGAGCCCCAAGGTCACAAAGGGTAAGAAACGGTTCAGTGTGTGTGCATGTTCACCCTCTGGTCTCTCCCATCTTCTACAGTTACCAGGATTTAATCTAATCTGATGATTTTATCTACTCCTAACCATTTCTCAAAGACTTCACTTCTAAACTCCATAGTCAGATTCAATTTCCACCCTCTTAATACTTCCAAGTGGGGTTTTAACTCCTGAGACCTGTAGGGGGTCACAAACCCCATTCAAACCATAGAAATAACTACAAATTCTGTGCTTTTATCATATAATATATAATTTCATACATAATGTAATATATCAAATAATAATATAGATAATACTTAATCTATGTTTTTGTCATTTCAAAATCCATATATGGAGACTTTCACCCTCCTGAGATGGTGGGACCTCTGTGAGGTGATCATTTCAGGGGGACAGAGCCCTTGGAAATGGGGTTGTCCCATGACAGAAGAGCCCAAGGGAGACCACTTAGCCCTCTGCCATGTGAGGTTGGAGTGAGAAGACAGGAATCTATGAGAGCAGGCTCTCACTTCACTGATACCAAATTTGTGGTGCCTGGATCTTGACCTTGAAACCCCCAGCACTGTAAGAAATGAAATTCTGTGGATTATAACCACCTGGTTCATGGCATTTTGTTACAGTGACTGTGCTGTAACAAACATGGGTGCATAGGAGCACTTCAAGCTCCTGTGGTCAGACGTGTTTTTAGGAGCCTGAAGGGTAAAGCCTAGACTGCCTGCCCAGATGGTAGGAAATTGGACTCTCGGGACCTGTGAGGCCCCGGAGGGCAGTTCAGATCTGTTATCAGAAACTGAAAGAAAGAGAATCCCTGGTCTATAGTGGCAGAAAGCTCAGGATAATCGTGTCTTGCCAGGATGCTGCCAGCCAAGGTCGTGATCATGGACTGCACAGGAAGTCACTGCCCAGAAAGGTGCCAAAGAGTCAGCTGGGTTCTTCTTGCTGCTTATGGTACATGTGAGAGGGGACAAACAAATCAAAGGAAGAACAATTAGACCAAAAGCGTATTTGAACAAAATTGTTTTGAAGACGCCCACCATCCATGGTAGTAAAGGTGTTTGCTGAAAGTATGACTTAGAGAAAAGACTGAATTTGTGGCCGTACAGGCTTTGCTAAGCCATTAGAAGCATCAAAGCGCACAGTATTTAGCAACAAAATTGTGCTTTGAAGAGGTGAAATTGTGCCTCTACATCAAAGTAGCAGGCTTCCAGAAGGATGAAGGGCACAGACTTCTGGCCTTCACAGCAGGAGCCCAGAGAAAGGACCATTTCAAAGTGATTT